ATGCTTTAGAGAGGAAATTTCAACTTTAGAACATTTATTTATAATGTTTTGGAACTTCATTGAGCAGAGAATCACAATCTTTAATCATAAAAAACGAGAGCACGCACTTCAATCGAGTTTCTAGTTGGTCCCTCCTTTGCACCTTGAGCATCGTAGAACGCAGTGTGAGGCGTCAAACCGGCCACATCGCTCAATAATGTCTCGTCCACTTGAGCTGCGCTCGCTTTTACCGTTGAAAGAGCTCGACTAGTGCTATCATAGCATTTCAAGAGCATCACCTCGTCTGGTGTCATCTTTGACCAGTAACACCATCGATGTTGGGGATTGTAAACAACAGAATAGGTTTCTCCGTTAGACGACGGAGGCGGATAGACGAGAGTTGTTGGAATAAGATCGTTGAGCACATCGATACTACGAAAATCAGCCACAGCAAGTGGATAATCGTATACAGTGTTCTTCAATGGTCGCCAGACATTAATCAATTGAAAGCGCTTCCATGGAACGTTGGGTGCGTGTCGTTTCACTCGCGTATGAGCACTTATAGGTGTTTGATCGACGTGTACTAGTATCACAGGCTGTCGATTCGATGAAGAATCGCTCGCCTGACCTGGTCTCACTCTACGTATTGTATGATCGAAGAAAACAACTTGACTGGCGCCTGTGACACGTTTAAGCAATTGCTCGACCTCACCATAATATGCTTCCTTTACTTGTTCGTCTGTCCCATTGAGAATGAGATCGGCATCGACTGCACTTGGCGAATGAAGAGCTTGGAAGCCAGTGACATCGATGTGTGTGTCTGATTCATGGCCTCGTATGTCATGTATGGTAACCTGAATGGAGTCGTCTCCATAATTCTTTTCGCGCGTTCCATCACTCGAAGGATTGATGTTAATGAACCAACGTTCTGATACACTGATGGAAGGCAGAGTTTTGCTGTAGATCAATGTAGCATGCACATCACGAGTAGTACTCGAGTCGTTGTCGAATGTCATTTTTTTTGGCTGTATGTAACTATTCGAGATCTGCCTCTTTTATAAAATATTCGATGAAAGCATGAGACAACAATTTATATACGTGATCACGCGGATAAAATTATCTTCACTTTAGTCATTGGCATAGTGCGCAATTTGAACACGCACCGACCGCATCGCTCGATATCAGAATGAGTCGTTAAAAATTGCATTTTCCATTGTTGAAGGATATAAGAGTGATGCATAAGAAATTATATTCTATAGTATTTGAACAATTCTGTATACACATGCAATTTCTTTCTCTTCATCACTTCTTTTATCTTTTTATTTTCACCGTGTTCTACACTTATCGTGAGATTTGAAGAGAAAAGAATGAGTGAAGGTAGTCAGCTTGACTGATATGCACAGTCATGTTTATAGTGTAATTCTACCCTTCGGTTATCGACATATGTCGTTGTTGAATAAACCTTTCTGTTTTCAAAGTTTGCAAGATTTGTGTTTTGGTGTGAATATTTCCATAATACACGCTTATAAATATTCATTCGATCATATAAATTCAGTCGTCCAAAAAAAAGTGCCATGTCTATATGCCATGACCTGTGAGATAAGTTAGCGATTCGTTTTTCTCGCTACATACTTAGGGCAATCTAAAAGTAGTGGCAGAGCTATTTTAGTTTCTTATAAAAAGCTTTAAGAAACTTTGGGTGTGAGTGTGGGTGTGGATGTTTGTGAAACGAAGACTTGCACTCATGCGCCACGTGCACCCACACCTACACGGTTCTCAAATGGTATGCGTATTAGATTAAGACTTATTCAAAAACCAAGAACGGCTCAATAACTGACCTCACGAATCCGTGTCTTTTCCAAACGATCAAGTGTTCATGACAAAAATGTTGATTACAGTGCACTTGTTTTTTTGCCAGTATCTATCTTGATCAAACGGAACATAATACAGATGAAGTGTTCTTTTTAAGATTCGCATTGAAGTAGTGTTTGCCTTTTTTTCTAGAATAAAGTTTATCGACCTATTATTTCTCAGATTGAATGATTTGTAGTTAGTGTTTAGAAGCAGATATTATAGCATCATTTTTTCCGTAAGTTGCATCATAGCTCCTTTTTTGTTCTTGACAGCATCGACTCTGGCATTCACAAATGATACAATTATAATCGATGTGCCAGAAAGGAAGTCCCTGAGAGGACTGGATGACTGTTGTCCAATTGTCATGCAATCATTCTACCAAAAATTTCAGTCTGATACGCTGCATCTTTCTACACTATCTAATATTTACATGAAAGTGCAGAACATGGTTCAGTCTTTCAGCTTGAGTTCATGTATGACGATCATTTACTTCTCAACGGCCATCAACTCATACCTAATGATGATCGTGATTCATCGTACAATGTTCCAGTTCATTGGCACTCTCCGTCAGTATACGCGTTTCATGAGATGTGTATTCACTCCAAGATAGTACATTTATCGAGTGAAACTCATTTGATTGATGTTGGCTTTCGACTACAACAGATGCCATTCCCAAATACTGTACTTTGGATCAGTAAAGCGAAATTGACAATCGAACTGACACAATGCAATCCAAACGTCAACCATGGTTTACTGATGGTTATGTCTCTTGCATCGATTGGATAATTTATAAAAGGATAAATCTGCATCAAGTGACACTTCTACTATCCTCTAGGATGTGGATGTAGAAGTGGGTGTCAACGAAGAAAAAACTCACATCCACACACCACATCCAGAACAGAATGATTACTTTTTTACCTGTACTTTTGTTTTTGTTGAATGTTTGTTCATATTTTCTATCAAGTTAATCTTTTTCTTACTTGAAGACTACATATTCATCTAATGTGAAGCAACAAGTCATATGCGTTTTTATTTCGCTCTGAATCAACAGAAAATGGTCAAGAATCAAAACAAAGTCATCTAAATAGTTTTCGATTCAAACACATTTAATTTTCGCTAAGTAAACATTCAGTATGAGAAATTCAATAATTTAAAATTTATTTTTCTCATGTTCTCATATTTATCATATCGTCTCTAATAGTTAAATGTTATATTGATTCATGTCAACTATTCTAAAATTGAATATCAATAAAAGTCTTCAACTTGATAATATATTTTCAATGTACGTATTGATATATATTGATTTTCGAGTTTGATATGTAGAATCAGAGAATTGAATTCAATATATGTTAGAAGGCATTTGTTTTTTTGCTATGATTTTTCGTAGAATTATTGGAGGAATCAATTGTTCATATATATCTCATCTGAATGATGGGGGAAAAGAAAAAATATGAGATTAATTATTTAAATTCAGAATCAAATGAAATGTTAGTATTTAATCTTAAATCACGTAGATCCAATAAATTTATTTTAATCGAAATCATATCAACAGTGAATAAATCAGAAAATATTCACATTTTAATTCAATAATTCAAGTCAAATTTGGAAATTCTCACCTAGATTCATTGTTTGCATGTTTCAGATTGAAAATTACATCTAAACATTGATTATTAAAAATGTCTTGATATATTTGAATAAATTTATCCAAAATAGGTAAAATAACATCAATATAGACGAAGAAAGTATCTTTATTTATAGTGAATAGTCGAAGTGATTTGGTATTTTTATGTAACAAAATCCAATTATTTAAAGTGGCCAGAAAATAAACATTATGAATATCACATAAAGTTGTAACATACAAATATAGTGAAAGTGGAGGATTTGGGGTGTGAGTGGGATAGTGTTTTTTGATATCTTTTTCACCCGCCAATCCAAATCCACATCCACACTCGAAGCTTATGCTCGTATTACTACAGGATGTTCCAAAGTCATGACCACTTAATAAATACAGATAACTCGACTGTTGATCCAGCTTGATCAATCCCTTTTCTTTTTATTTGTGCCAAACAAATGATTAAATAGCAATAAACAGATATTTGCATGATTTAAAGTCTATAATAACGATAGAAATTCAAGTAAATATTGAAAAAAGAACGGTGCATAGGGTGTGGGTGTGGATGTGGATGTGGCCTGAATCGATAGTGGCACACAAACCCACACCCACACCCACATCCACGCTCTAATTTTTCTGTGGCATGAGCTTTACCTTGAATAACTTTTTCCTATGACTTAAGTTTACACGAAAACGATCAAAATCTATACACAAACAAACAACAAACCGTTAGTTGAATCAACGTATCCAATTAAAAAACTTTGAGCAGAACAATCAAATATTCATGATACCCACGACATATATGAATAAATTATGTTATAATTGATTTTAATAAACACTTAAATTCAGGAGAGAGTAGCTCAATGATGAATTTTATTTTGAAATAGCTTTAAAATCATTGGCGCCACTGTACAATATCAAATAAAATAGAGTCGATCTTAGTTTCAACAAATATCTCACAACTGAACTACCACAAAAACATTCTCCTTGCTTACATTGACGTTTGCAAGAGCATGAGTTTTATCTTGAACGAATACTAACCAAAGGCCAGTTAAAAACACAAGGAAATCTTTTCATACATTCTTGCCAGGATCCTTAATACAAACAGTTACAAATCTTGACAGAATCTTCGAAACTAAATTCTGAATAGACGTCATACATACATCAGCAAAGATCTTCATGAGATTCTCCTATTTGCTCACCAAGATCCTGATCATAGTTGAATTGTTTTATAAGAATTCGAATGGCTTGTTCTTGAAGAGTTTGGAGCAGGATAGTGATCGAAGCTTGGCCAGATTTACTATTTTAGGATTTTGATAGATCTTGTATTAATTGTGGGAAAATCCTTCTCTGCTGTAACTATAACTCTTGACGGAAAACTCGTAGCAGGATTGAACACATCTTGACGAAAACCAGATATAATCTGAACAGAATTCTCTCTCACAATCCTGTCAAGATTTTTGATAGAATCTAAAGTAGATTCTGATAGGATCCTGCATTCTTAATTTAGAAAAAAATATCTGAGCAGGAACTTGCACCAATCCTGAACAGGATCCTGCATTATTAATTCAAAAAAATATCTGAGCAGGAACTTGGACCAATCCTGAACAGGATCCTGCATTATTAATTCAGAAAAATATCTGAGCAGGAACTTGAACCAATCCTGAATAGGATCCTGTTTTACCTTGAAAAACCCTGGAAACAGGAATTATTGGGATTCGAAACAGGATCCTGAGTAAAACTTGACAAGATCCTTGAAATTCAGGATCCTAAAAGATCCTGCCAGGGTTTCTCAAGGAATGAACAGGATTGAGGCTAGGGTATGCGTTCGAGACACACGCATACAAGACGAGAGTCATTAGTGTGTGTGCGGTGTCTAGAAGCACAAATGTTTCTTCACATTTTGACCAGTATTCTCTCTCTGACACAATGACTGATGAACAGTTGAGTCGTGCGTAGTAAGAAGAGAGAAAGAAACCGCTCACATACGATTATGACATTGCTCAACCGATGTGTTCACAATGTGAATATCGATCTTAGTAGTGGCACTTCATTAGGAAAATATACACACACTCTAACATCATGCCGATATGGTCGATCATAGTGGAGATTTCCTCATAGATATTTCTTTTCTGTATGCGTGCGTGTGTGTGACACGATCATGTATCGCAGCATGATACTTCTGTCAAATGCCCGAGTGACAGAACCGTTCTGTCTCTGTTTCTTACGGGCAAGCAATGCTGACGATTGGGACGCAAATGGATCCGACAGGTTGTTTTCACCGACGGGAATGAAAACAAACAGGGATCTATTACGTAGCCACAGAAAGCACTTATCGGATCATCAAGATGGGTATCTGGTTCGACCCTGACAGAAGCTGTTGTATATTCGAACGAGTGACAAGAGAAGAAAAAAAACGAATATAGCGGCTTCTTCTCCCCAATCAAACCGATTCCGATAAATAGAAAGAACGACGACTCAAGGCAAAATGGAGAAATGAGAATCCTTGACAGCAGTATTTAGCCGAAAGGCTTACAGCCAAAAAAAAAGAATAGCAGCCAAGTGCATCGATCGACGGACAAAGCCTTTCGGAATAAATAAATGGTGCACTCCAGTAGCTGAGAACGATGCATGACAAACGTAATTACATATGTTATGCACTCTGTGGAAGAGAGAAATTTAACCTGAATCGGAGTAGATCTAGCTTGAGATGCACATGCCGGATAGTGTTAAGGTTGTGATGTGACCCAAACACCTTGTTGCTTCTCACTAGCCCCGCCACAGTGAACGAACGAGCATCTATTGTGCTACACTGATGCTTGTCAGACAGATCGTTCACAGGTTATTGAAATCGATCTTTCAGTTAGAATAAAATCATAGTGAGACTGCAAAGCATGCTCGTGTACTACTGAAATCTTTTAATTCTCATTCAAACTTCATCATGACTTCAAGAAGAGTTAGATCATTAGTATCCCAGTAATAATTAGTTTTAAAAAGTAAGTCGACGAGATCGATGCTTGACTTAAATCTCAGTTTTGAAAATTTTCATTCCGTTGTAGTCGTTGGCGGCAGAATCGGAAGTGGAAGGCTGGAGCCCCTTTGTATTTGAGACACTTATAAAGACTTTTTTTTCTTTCTGAGAGAGCCGCGCCCTCAACTCGTGACTGTTGCTGTCCCCTCTGTCTATATTTTCAATTGGATAGGGCCGAAGTCTATTGAAACGAGGTTCTATTTTTGCAAATATTTGATAAACGAGGCGTATGTACTACGATGTCCTTGTTGTTGAAAGAATAAAACAACAGAACTAAGACATTTCACACTGACTGAATACACACTGTGACGATTTTCTGATAGGAAAAGCGTCAGCACTGATGGAACTACGCTTTATTATATTTCTTCTTATCCAGAATCGCATCGTTTTCATACAAAGCATACGCTAATATACTCGCCCATCAGAGAAGAAAAGAATATGAAAGGAAAGGACAATAAAGATAGATAGGGGCAAAGTACAATATGATGTACGATTTAAGGACAGAAAGAATAAGAACAATACATAAGATGAGAATAAATAGTAAGGAAAGGTCAAACATCATGCATACAATGCACTTAACCGGGAGCGTTACACCCACAATAATGATTTCGTCATGATTTGCACGACAGCTATCAGTGTGCGAATACGGCCATCTGATGACAATAGAGCAGCTCGAAGGCGTACAAAATTGTCGGTTCGGTTACTTAAAGCGCTTTTTTTTTAAAGAAAACAAATCAACGTCCCTCTCTTACTAAGTAACCAAGAACAATGCATTCCGTTGGTATTGTCACTGCTGTGCTCTTTGTCCTGATTGCGGCAACAAGTGCTTCGAATTGCAAGCCAGTCCTTTGCGCAATTCATTGTCCACTCGGTTTTGAACTCGATCAAAACGAATGCCCAATTTGCTCGTGCCGCCGACCGGCCCCTATCTGCAGACCAGTCACATGCATGCTTGCTTGCCCATTGGGTTTTGACGTCGATCAAAACGGATGCCAAGTTTGCTCGTGCCACCGACCGGCCCATATCTGCAGACCAGTCACATGCACGCTTACTTGTCCATTCGGTTTTGACGTCGATCAAAGACAATGCCCAATGTGCAAGTGTCGCCGATCGCCCAGTACCTGCATCGAGCCGATCTTCGGTTACGGCTGTGGTATCTTCGATCACCACGAATGTCCAAGCACGCACCAATGTCACCTCAGGAGTGAGGGTGAGGGTCTATGTTGTCTGAAGCCTCAGTTGTCGACAAGCACCACGCCTTTCACGCCTGTTACCACCGCATCGGGTACCACTAGCAGCTAGAGTATCCAACGCTGGTTCCATAAAATCCTTTCTCAATGGATCGGTGCTGAATTGAATACAATCATTTTCTGTTCTAAAATTGAGAATCTTATACATGTAGGACGGCAATTAGAGTTACACCAATAAATTTCTTGCATCGAGTCCATCTATCTTCAAAAACTTGTCTTTTATTTTATTCTATACATATTCTGCTTCTATTACAGACAAATAAGTTAGAAATTTTAAAAAAAATGACATCGATTAAAATCAATTACTCGCAGTTCTCGGCGATGGAGTTGATTCAACCATTGGATCATCCTCATCATCCGTCGACGATATCGATGTAGATATCGACCAATACTTGTTCATACGTTGTTGAAAATTTTCAATATAGACACGTTGTTGTTCAATGAATTGAACAGCCACATTGGACACATTGTAGATTAAATCACAGAAAGCTTTCATGATAACGGCACGTTTCATGAGTAGATTGGGAATGTTCGAATTACGCGTGGAAACCGACTAGGTACAGTGTGAATAAGAAAGTTTATACCGATTCAAAATCGTCTTACGCGTTAGTTGTATACATGTAGCTATTGAACGAAAGGCTAATGCTGCTGTCATTTTTGCTGTGAGAGTAACTGTTCGATATGGAGCAGAACCAATTACCAAGAGACCATTAACTCTGTACTCAATCCTCTTCCTTCATCACATTATTAACCTACAACGAGATGGAAGACAGCGTAACGTGATCACTCAGGTCGAACGATACGATCCGTATACAGCCGTTTACGACACTTAAACGGACCGTAATATCAGGCGCAGAAATACGGTCCGTTTATACGTCGTAAATGGCCAAATAGAGACCGTATAAAGTAAGAATACGGCGTCGCACACGGTGCCGTATTACTGTGCCCAAGATTACGGGTAATTACGGTTCATTTACGGCCGTAAACGTGCCGTTTTATTGCCGTTTACGTTCCGAAAATGTACTGTAAACGGATCCGTTTTGAGTGACCTGGGCAATATGGTAATCTTTGGAAAATTTTGCAATGAGGTTAGTTTCCGAGAACGTGATAGTTTTTATGATTAATCGATCGAATATCATGATAGCGATGTTTCTGTAAATATAGGACTACGACTGTTCACTAACTCTTTTCCGTATCGTACAAGCTGAAAAAGGAATGAAATATTCGGTGCAACTTAACATTGTTGGTCTAGTACACTCATCAGAGACTAAAAAAATCATTTATTTAAATCTAAGAAAAAAATCACTCGTTCACAGTATACTTCGAGGAAGATGTCTATTGCCATACAGCTTGAAATTCGTATTGGCCAGAACCAACGTATACCATCATCAGTCCTGTCGCGGCATCTCGTTCGATTTCAAACTGTTCAAGATTAGTAGGACTAGCATTCGCCGACCAGATGACCTTGTTACCTTCGATCAGTGTCACACAATGGCTACCGATGAACAATGGCTCGAAGATGACACGAGCGCGCGCATTTGGTGGTATGGTGACGCGCAATAAGATTGAATTGGCGACTGTGTCATATTCATTGCGCGTGTAGGAAACATGAACGACACCGTACAGTGTGCTCAGTTGACAGGTAACCTTGTCCATAAGATGCTTCTTAGCTTCGGATGCCATTCGAGGTCGAACCGTGATCATGTTAGAAGAGAGATCGATGCCGGCTAAATGCGAATAAAACCACGCACCGACACTACCAAACATGACGTGATTGCGTGAATTCATTCCAGGTCCTTCGGACGGTGCATCCCACAGTTCCCACACCGTGGTCGCATTTTCGAAAGGATTTGTAAACATATAACCGTAAGACGGATAAGTTGTCGACGAGATCAATTCAAGCGCCAAATCGTGATGACCATTGTCAGATAATACTGGATAGATTTGCGCGGTGGATACGATACCTGTGGACACATGATTACCTTTTTGACCAATATCAGTGATAAGATGAGCAAGTACTACGTCTCGCACGCTTGCCGGCACGACATTTGGTAACGCTAGAGCCAGTACTTGTGCCGCTTGCGATCCATCGGCATAGAAATTCGACGAGCTAGTGAAGAAAACGCGGTGAAACTCCTCGGCAAGTTGTTGATAGAATATCGAATAAGCTTGTATATCGCTGGATTTGCCAAGCACTTGAGACATGTTGATCATAAGGGAGACATCATGGAGAAAGCCGAACGATGCAATCAAATGCGCGTTTGTCTGAGGATATGGTGGCGGTGGAACCCAGTCACCAAACTGGTACGCAAGATTGACAAGTCCTGTGTTGTTATAGCCACTGCGAATATTTTCCACATAAGCACGAACAGGATTATAGTAATCAGCCAGAATTTGACTGTCATTGTAATGACGGTAGAGCTGCCAGGTAATCGTAGGTAATGCAGTACCCCAGTTGGGATCAGCCGGATAACCACCACCTCCCGGTGCTACGTCGGGTATAGCCCCATTAGCCAATTGAAGATCAATGATCAAATTGAGATAGTTCAAATAAAATTTCATCAAATCAAAATTGTATAAAGCTTCATCTACTGATAGAGCCGTATCACCCGTCCATCCTGTGCGTTCATCGCGTTGGGAACTATTACAACAAGAATGATATAACTTTTTGTTTTCACTCTTAAATACTAATGACCTACCAAGCTGTAGGCACCGCCATGATGTTACTTAGCTGGCCCCATTGGACGTTGTGCTGAATTTGATTGACGACAGGATTACTCGTGACAAAGTGACCTTTCAATGTTGTCTCACTATGCACTAAAGGACACTCGATATCGTCGACTGTCAACGGATTTGGTGCGCCAGAAACAGACAGATAACGAAAGCCATGTACAGTGAAACTATGGAGAAAAAGAGGATAGTGACAGTGATGCTGTGAGAAAAGCCATACGTCGGTTCGTAGATTTCGCCGGCAGGATCACCACGCAGTACGTAGATGTCAGTTTGTGCAGCACTACGAAGACTTTCTGTGTTGATACCACCGTAGGATTGGCTAAAGATAAACGAGTCTGAATTGAATACGTAACATTTCAGATCCTACCCAGTGGACATCAATGGCTGTGCCAATATTTCGGAATGACGAATGTAAACACCGACACCTCGTGCACCACGCAATTTGACTCGACACCATCCCGCCATATTTTGACCTATGTCAAACATGTGAATTCCTAAAGTACATTTAGTGATTAGCGTGTGTGTCGTTGTAACAAAGAATAAGATCTACCGGTAGTCGGTTGCCACATGGCCACAGGTTTCAACACACCGCTTCCACGATCAGTTAATGGTGCACCCTTGATCTCTCCTATATCGTCAGTTTTCAAATATCCATTTTCTTGACTTGTTTCAAAATGCAACGCATCTAATCCTGCTCGAATTGGTAACATATCCTGTAGAATGAGTTGACCGTTGAGTGTGATATTCAGTGGTGGTGGCATCAATTCAGGCATAATCCAAGCCGACAGTGAATCGTTGAATCCTACTCGCGCCCAATCGGGACGGACATTTCGAGCATCATACAATTCGCCATTATAAACACTATCATACAGAATTGACCCTGTACGACCCCTCCATGTTTGATCGCTGAAAACTTGCATTACTTCACCGTTTTCAAAAGTAATAGTTAAGATGAAAAGAAGACGAGGAGGGCCTGAAATAGCATGAAAGAAACCAGTACTAGGTGGGCAATATCTTATTCCATTTACCATAGTTTGATTCTCTCTGTAACTCTCGACTATACCAACCATTACCTAGTTTGACTCCTACAGCATTCATGCCAACCTATAGCAAAGCAACAATAATAACAAATAAAATTTTCGAAAACTATCTCAACCGTGATGTTTGCCGTCAGATCGAAAGATACAAAAAATGTATGTTTCTCGTATGTTGTCCAGCCTGGATCCAACTTTCGGCTCGGATCGACATTGTTACCATTCAGATAAAGTTCATAATATCCAAGACCAGAAATGTAAGTAATTGCCGTTCGAATAGGACTTGTATTTGGTACCATAAATTCTTTTCTCAGTTCATTCATATTAATTTGTGTCGAGCCAATCCATAGAAGATTTGCACTATTCATCACGTATTCATGAAGATTAAATATTGGCGTCCGAAATCGAATCCAATCAGTCCACTCACTCGGTTGCTTCGATATTGTGGTCCAAATTCGCAGACGAAAACGGTAGTTTGTTTCTGACATTAGATCAACATAACCAGTATATGGAACATGAGTCGATTGGGACGACACGATCTGTTCACTGTCCCATTTGAAGTGATTATACCGCTGGGATAGTATTGTCGATTGTAGCTGTAGTTGATAGGCTGTTTGTTGGACATTTCGTTGGCACGCTTCATCCAAAACGGGAATTTTCCAAGAGAATCGAGGTCGTGGTGTATTGATGATCAGATCACGAGTGATCCCAACCTTGTAGTGGTTAATTCGCACGTCAAATGGAGGCGATAGCTGAGCATCGGTTGTCCAGCAAAGTAAAAATGCGAATAGAACAAAAAAACAACGCATAGTCTTTAACTTAGTTGAAAAAAAGAAAGATACATATACACCTTTATCTCTTTCTTTATATAGCCACATTGATATTATCACTACTGTTTGGTCGCAGTTGATAAAACCGTAGAAGATCCAGGTGAAAGAGAGTTAAAAGTACTTGTATACTCTACAGAGGTTATTCGCAAACCTACTCCATACGTCTACATTCTGTCGTATATTATCAACTAAAATTTTCAGCACTATCCGAATTCCGTGAATTCTGAACTCTTGAGGAACTCTGAACTCATAAATTAACGAAATAATAAGCCGCCGTCATGCACAATCAAAGAGAATGAAAGTAACTCACGGGACCCAAGGAATTCACGGAATCCAAGGATTTCAAGGAACTCAAAGAACCCAAGGGACTCAAGGAACCCAAGAAACCCAAGGAACTTAAGGAATCCAAGGATCGTAAGGTGTCACATATTCAGAATATCCCGGATGCCGGAGAAGCACAGAAAGATGCAAGATAAACAGGACTACGTTTTAACATACTATTCAAATATTACAGTTACATGAAATCTCACATCATATCTCTCCAGGAGATGCCGCATCTGATCAGGACATGCAGCATCTTGGTCACCCGATATTTCCTGATAAAATTTTTTTTTCGATTTTTGGCCTAAGATCCGTGCTGGACATGGCGAAAACACGTACTCACAGCATGTCTCTTAGTGAGGGCAAGGGAGAAAACACATACACTGGGTATCTCACTTTTTCAGGGTTATCTAAGATCCGGCGTCTCAGGAGGAGATGTTGGATTTGCTGATAGATATGCAGCTCCGACATCGATCCTAGGCTAGAAACTGGAGAAAATGGTTTTATAGGTGTGCGTGAAAAACACTGCTTCTATTATTGTAGCTGACACACTCCAATACGATATTTGAATGACTCTAATATTGTGTCGTTCTTCTCTGAGGTATGTTCAGATTTCTGAAAAAGGATATTTTCGTTAGTTCGGTAATCCGCATAGCAGTGCCAGTTGCAAATTTTTAGAAATATTGAAAATTTCGGAAATCATATAATTTTGGGAAGTGCCGAACAATTCGGAATACCAATGCTTCAGATTTTGAAAATTTTCGTTTTTTTGAAATGTGAATACTACTGAACATCGGAGCTATTCTATCAGATTTCAACTATGATTACTCATGATATCTTCAAGTCGATTGATATAGACCATATAGAAGATGGGTGTCACTTTCGTCATGTCCATACCCATATCTGCTATTAGCTCTGGTGTTTGTTCCATACATTTCGAAAAATAACAGTACAAACCTCAAAATTGTCGTTTTATAACGAAAAATGTTTGATTTTATTCAAGATGAATATCTAGCTCAATAATATTTCATTAACCCTTTCACGGCGATTCGGTTTTTCGAGGAAAATAGCTTCACTATATTAATTCTCATGCGTGTCCACGCTCGATAAATGCGCTCATTGATATTTTCAGTGTGCGCAGTTATTTGTTTTTCTTTCTGTTGTTTGTATCATCGCATGGTAGGTCTTTTATCATATCGAACTGAATAGTTACTCGAGTCTGTCTTTTTCTGGGTGACACGTATTGTACAGTAACAACGAAATAAAGAAGGGAAATTTTAATTTTTTCTTTTACATTCTCTTCGTAGTATTATCTTTCACTCTTTCTTTTCATTTGCATGAAGAGTGAGAGTGTGCGTCAACAAAGAAAAACAAGTTGTAGATTTATCTGATCAGTTATCAACATACTATACATGCCTCAGACGGTCTAAAAAGTCGTAACAAAAGGTGGCATTTGAGATAATATTTGGAATGTCAATAGTAAATGCTTATTTGATTTACAAAGAAAATTATGACACAAGCCGTATGACGATACTACAGTTTCGTGAAAGTCTTGTGCGATCTTTACTTCTTGGTGTGCCATCCGAGAATCTAAAACCTGGTCCGCGAGAACGTTCAACAAGCCAAACGAAGCGCAAACTTGCGGATCACAAGCTCAAAGAAATGGAAGGATCTGAACGGAATGTTCGAAGACGCTGTGCTGATTGCTATGAGAAAATCAGGTAACAACAATCAAGAGAAGCAGCCATGCGGCAGCAAGGAAAATAAAAACTTTCTGTTCTGATTGTGACAATTTTTTTTGCCTTGATTGTTTTAACGAGAAACATCAGACTAGGGTGGGGTGTGGGTGAGTCTTAAGTCCATCCCACACCCACACCCCACCCTATATATTAGCCAGCAAGAATTCCTGACTTGGAACAGATATGACGCAGAAGCTAACTACACCATTTCGGGACAACGTTTTTTCGTATTGTCCCGCAAGACACTATTTCATATACTCCACGCTATTTCTTGACGAAATAGGCTATCAACTCCTTATCAAATGTAATTTTCTTATTATTCAATTCATTGTTAATGATTGTTGTTTTGATAATATTTATGGTTTGATGAAAAATTAAACTTGTTGGTGATTATTTCAACAAGCTGCAGGTGTATTGAAACCGCTTGTTTGCTTGATATGAATCTTTGTGTTTAAAATCGATTTCTTGTAAAAATCGATACTGACTATATCGATATGGTTTTTTTGATGACAGTCGACCACTTGCTGTTTTTTTATCAAAGGAATTGGGCATCATATTTCTTATGCGACATGTTTTCAAAAATTAGATGTCAAGATATATATTTCAATTTTCTTAGAAAGAGTTTTTTAACTGTTTTGTACGTATATAAAATGTAACATTCCTCGTACCATCTGATTTATAAGTTGATATTTGATATAGTATGGACAAAGATTTGACAATGAATAAATAAAGTCATGTGGCTGATGTAAATTTTACCATGGTTGAATATTTCTACATGTTTATTCAGTCATCTCTAGGAATATATTATCTATACATATCATTTATTTTTAGGTATGCAAGTGTACGCAGTGCCTTCGAAGAACGAAAAATCGAACGCATGAAAAGAGATGAATCATGTTCTCGTATCTTCGATTTTTCGTTCTTTGAAGGCATTAATTATATTTTCATACCTAAAATAAAAAGTATATATAGATAATGTTTTTCTAAAGATGACCGAATAAATAGGTAGAAATATTCAACCATGGTAAAATTTACATCAGTCACATGTTTTCAATGATTTATTCGTTTGACGAAGAAATTTTATCTCTTGTTCTTTTTAATATTCCATTTTCTTTTGCCATCATTGCATACCACAAAATGTGGTTAGTGTTGTTCGAGTGAAAAAAATACATATATTTCAATATAGAAACGAATTTATTCTGTTCTCTGTTTGTTTTCAAAGATAAAAGACATGCCCATGACAGACATAACTCTTTTTTTCTTGATTTTTTCTTTTTTATGCTCTTTCTTTATTCTAAAGAACTAAGTGAATAAGGGAGATATATTATACGATAATGATGTTATTACTAATACAGAAAAATACAAGAAGAAAAAGAAACCAAAACAAGAAGAAAAAGAAACCAAAACAAGAGAGAGGAGAAGAGCGCATGTGAGAAAATGAAAATAACAAAACGACAGTACATCGAGTCGAGTTTGTGTAAATATTCTTCATATATTTCGTGTAGGAAAATATCAAACAGAACGAAGAGAAAAGGGAACGATAAAGAAACGTAGAGAAAATTTATCGAAGCGTATCGATTCATATTTTTATCTTGCTGTATTTAGTTTTTACTTCATTGTCGTGCATGAAGATTAGATATATACGTATATAGTTCAAAGATAATCGTTTATTCGTATTATAGAAGAAAAATAATGGCAGAAAAAAATCTTTTACGACGTCCAAAGGCTTCTATTCAAAAAGATATTTCATCATATAATGAAGTACATCAAGATATCGATACACGAAAAGCTCAATATTCGACGCTAGTAAAGAATTATTATAGTTTAACAACAGATATTTATGAATTAACTTGGGGTGGAAGTTTTCATTGTGCTAATCGATATCGTAGTGAAACATTCGAAGAATCAATTCAACGACATGAATCTTATTTAGCATTAAGAATGCAACTTAAACCAGGAGATAAAATACTTGATATCGGTTGTGGAGTTGGAGGGCCCTTAAGACGTATTGCATACTTAAGTGGAGCACATATTACCGGTATAACAATTAGTCCATATCAAGTTCAACGAGCTAGAGAAATCGGTAAGAATTCATTGTATTTATTTTTTGAAACAAATCTCGACTATGAATTGAATCTTTATTTCAGGTGTACCGCCCAATTGCGAATTTATTCAGGGAGATTTCATGAACTTACCATTTGAAGACAATAGTTTTGATCATGTTTATGCTATAGAATCTGTATGTCATGCACCGGATAAGGTATATTATTATATTTTTTCCTTCAAAAAAAATGCTTTTTTTTACAATGATTTAGTCTAAATGTTTTGCTGAAGTTTTTCGTGTACTTAAACCAGGTGGCTTATTTCTTGGTTATGATGCCTGTTTAACTGATAAATATGATAAACAAAATCCTGAACATGTTGAAATAATACGTACGATGGAAGAAACTCTTGCCTTGCCCCAACTAAGATTAACCC